AGATAGATTATTTTGTTATTAAAAAGAAGTTGACAATCTTTGCGAGCTGAAACGCGGGATTCCAAAATAGCTATAGTGCTGCCACTGTATTAGTATTTCGTAATAATTCACTGTTCCTTATGAGATGTGTGCACTGTTCAATGCTTTTCGGTATCTTTCGTTTAATATATATATAAATAATGAAAATTTTTAATAAAAAATCGCGCGATTTTTTATTACAAATTTTCGCCTGCGGCGCTTTTTCCATAAAAATCAATACTTCGATAAATAATGAAAATTTTTAATAAAAAATCGCGCGATGGTATAGCGAAATTTGCTATTATATTTTGGTTACACTATCTTATTTAGATGAAAGTAAAAAGAAGAAGAAGAAGAAGTGTATAGTGTAAACTGAGTATAATAGCGCAAATGAAATGTGAAATAAAGTGGCAATTCCAGCGATTTGAGGTTATAATAATTTTAGCAGGCGCAAAGTTTGTTTACTCTGTTTTATTAACGAAATATATAAAATAAAAGTGAATAAATGATTTGGGTTGCATAAAATAATAACCGGAAACGTTTTAGTAGTGTTTTAAAAGTGGAAACTGGTGATTTAGTGCATTTTTGACGTGGTAATTGCTCATAGAAAACAACGAAATTTAACAAAAGTTCATAACTTTTAAATGGTTAATAATATTATCTCCGCCCCTCCGGATTGTTATTAGGGGGGCCGAAACGCTTCGTTTTGTACCCCTTCCGACTTTTCCGCACCTTTTTTAGGGGTTGTTACCCCACCCTAGAGAATTACCTAAGTGCCAACTTAATTTTGACAATGAATATGCCCAATTTTACTTTTGGTAGCCGATAATGCTTTACGAATGCAAATGAAATGCAATTAAGAATTCAAGGATGATCATTACAATATGAATTAGCCACGAAAACATGTTTTTTTATTTGTTTTATTTATTATTACTATTATTTATAAATTTTATTACAAATGCTTAATATTTTCTTAATGCAATATTTTATTTAAACGAACTAAGTACGCGATTTGGTTTTTTCACATATTAATTTATTAATATACAATATTTTAATGATGAAAAAAA